GGGCGGGGCGGGGGGGGGGGGGGGGGGGGGGGGGGGGGGGCAAAAAACACACAGAACATAAGCCTCATTTAGAAACATTTGGACTTTCTTTAATAAAATGTTATGAATATAACCACTGTTCCCTAAAGAAGAGGAACGAGGTACAACACATAGCTCCAAGAAGGGAGGGAGGTAAGTGAGTGACCCCGTTTGTTTATGTAGGTCCTTCAAGCAATGTTATGCCATTTCTTTCGAGATATCAAATCCCTTTTAGAACCGTCAGTGATGATAGGTTATTTATATCCAGGTGGGGCCTGCCACCCATTATCACCCGTCATTGTCCAACAGGTGTGATTCAAGGTGTCTTCAGTCAGGCCATGTGGGGGCGTTATATGAGGGTTGTACTGAGTGGATCGACTGAAAGGGAACCACAAACTACATATTTATGACAAAGCATGAGAAGACATTTTATGGCAGAATCTTACCTTGCTGTGTAAATGAATTCAATCAACAGCTCAATGATCTCGGGCTCAGCACTCCTCAGTTCCACCTCATGAGACATTGATTCCATCATTCTGGCTGGACACGAGAAAATAAGCAGTGTAAAAGAGAACCAAACTGAACATTGTGGGTTTTTATATATATATATATATATATATATATATATATATATATATATAAATTCTTTGTACTAAGCATAGACTTTCAATGGACGGTTTAAAAATGCACAAAGTTTTTAAAAAGTGCATTTAAGAAAAAAAAATATACATTTTCTTATTAAGAAAAAATATTTCCCAATATGCACAGGAAATATGATTCCTGTGTATATTGGCACAGGAATCAGGCTAATCATCTGAGAATCTGTATTTAAAGTACATTTGTACAGAAAAATCTTGTTTGTAGCTTTAAACTTAATTTGCAATGATGTGGTGCAAAATCTGAGATTTATTTCAGTCTTTGTAAACCATCCATCCCAACATTAACTTTTTTGTTTTTTGTATGTGTCCGTGTGTGATGTTTACTGGTGAACATGAGGCTGAAGAAGTGGCTGGCAGCAGCGAGGACCACCCTGTGGGCAGGAAAGTGTTTCCCCTGAACCACCAGGGTCACATCACAGAGTGTGCCCTTGAGGTAAACACCAAGCACAATTGGGCGGTAATACATTAAAACAGACACATCTCCCATGCAAAGCCAGTTTAAAACAAATCTTTGCACCTGCTTTCTGAGAATGTTCATGCCTGCCATGATGCCGGACAGCTGCCTGTATTCTTCTTTGGAGGCACACTTCCTCTCGCTCTTCTTCTTGGAGCTTGCTGCCTTCTCCGGAGACGCTACGCCCGTCATGTCAGGTAGGTATTTGTCTGACTAGCTCACGTAAAGCAATAGCAGGCTCGCTGCCGGCGGTGTGTGGCTTTTGTTGTCGCTCAGCAACCAGCCAGCGTTGTTCGTGCTAACAAAGACAGCAACTTGTTTTCAATTTTTAAATTTAAAAACGAATGTTAGATGTCACTTTTCTTAATGGGGTGACTAGGACAGAAACTAGACACTTATGGGAGATTGAGCATTAATTTAGTAAGATAGTGCTCAGCTTAGCTTTGTATCTCCCTTCTTTTGTCGTCTTCTTCTCCACCGTCGAGGCTGCGTAGGAGTTCCAGAGAAGGAATTATGCTGCCCCCTTCGGTTGAGTTTAATAAGAACAGTAAATATTTGTGATAATTTAAATAGAATTATATACGTACTTTTAAATAAATAAATAAATAAATAAATAAATAAATAAATAAATAAAAGTTGGAGATTACTGCTCTGAGAGACACTTACATGGACTTACATATTCCTCCTCAATTGTTGACGTGAAAAAAGTGCAACTTTTAAGGAAGCTTTGGAAAACATTTCTTCACAAAGTAATCAAATAAACGTGAGTCTTCGTCCAACTCTGATTTTCACAGATGCGGGTTTTTTTTTAACAGCTTTAGTTATTAATAACTGATAGGGGCAAGATTAGGTTGTATGTATGTACTTGTAACAGTTTCTGTATTGGACAAAGCAGTTATTTAAAGAAATTCTTACATTTTCTTACTTTTTCTTAACCTTTTGGGACCTAATTGTTTGTATGATGATTAATTTTGTCTGTTGTGGCTGTGTCTGTGTATTATTTTTTTTTTCCAAGTTTATTAATTTTTTTTTACAAATTTAGCTACATTTACCAATAAAATCCATGAAATGCAATAACAGTTTGGAATAGACTGTCATTTTGGTAGTCATATCTGTCGGTGCAAATGCAAGTATCAGGCCTTCAGTGCTTTTACCTTGTGTGCGTGCGTGTGTGTGCGTGTGTGTGCGTCTGTCACCTGACGCTCACCTGTAGTTACAACGTTCAAGCATAGCACGGAAGATTTTTTTTTTCATGGCCCGCGTGACACTGACGTCATGTGGAATGTGGACGACAAAAACTTCATGAACACAATAAGTGACCTAAAAACAAGCTGAAGGAAACTAACGCTGGTGAAAATGCTCCGTCTCCTCTGCTGTTGCTTTGTCTCCAGCGACAGTCTCGGCGAGGTATGCTGTCGATACACCGCACCGAGGTTTCTATAACTTCTCGCGAGTAAAATGAAACGAATGGAGAGATCTGTCGAGCTTCAGTAGTTTTCTCGAACGTATTATGTGTACAAGAACTATATCCTCCTGACTACCAGTAGTTCATTTTTGTCCTCTGTAGAGGACATTTCTAAATTTGAATATCTCCCACCCCCTACATTCTACTGAATTAATTTCTTTTGGTATCTGGAGAGGACATTTAGGGCTTTTCAATACCACATGTGAAGGAGTGGGACTTTTGTACGTATCTTTTTCTAATTCATGAAAATTGCGTTCATCAGTAATAACACATTTTATGGGAAGAGACAAAGAAAGTGTATAAAACCTTTTATTATCTTACAAAGAATGTGGGATTTAAAAAAATTGGTGATTGGACAATATTTTTTTCCTGGTAATCGGGAGGATAAATCACGTTTATTTTTGTTTTTAAAAGATTTTTTTTTTTTTTTTTTTTTTTTTTTTTGCTTGAGAGTATACAAAACTCACTTTAGATCTAAATTTCATAATAGGTTTTGCTGTTCTCATTGTTTTGCTCAATTGCTACAGTACAAAACTTTGTTGTCTTTTGCCATTAGGACAGCATTAGTTTCTCCTGTAAAATTATGGACATTAGGTTGACCTTTTTTATATCTAAAATCTATGAATTGTAGATCTAGGGAGTGAGATGGCCAGAAAGGAGGCTGATTTTTACTCTTTTGATCTATTTCTGTGTATATTTAACCATATTTTTTAATGTCTTGCATAAGATTATGCTACAGCAATAAAATATATATATTTTTTAATCTCTCAACACATCTTTACAGGGGATTAATTAAATGAGACCAACATTGTGTGTGTATAAATATGAGAGAACCATCTCTGCTGTTTCAGAGGCAGCCTTTGTTGCAGCCTGGATCTCCATCTGAAGTGACTGAAGCTGAATCAGCCAGACGGGCCCCCTCGGCTCACAACGGTAAGCCAGGTCTGCGTTTCACGATCTGCACTGAAATGTTGTATGAATTCCAGAATCTTCTTCTATTTCACGCTTTTCTTTTTGCCTGCCGCCTTTGTGTGTCTTTTGTGCGACGTCCAGATGCGCCGATAGTGAAAAGGAGTGGAAAGCTGGTGATGAGACGGGTGAATGTGCCAGAGTTGGATCACAGGTTTACTGACATGGCAGAGATCTTCAATGAGCAGCAGGCACACTATGAAGCCATGGTTGGACACATCAGAAAGTTGAAACAGAGCTGCGACATTACGGATGTTGATAACCTGGCTGTTGCCGAGTGCATAGGGGCGTTAAGGAAGGAGCATGGTGAGCAGCAAACAATTTTTGTTGAAAGCAGCATAATAAGCAGGTGGTTCTTTTTTCTGTTGGTTGATTTAATTTCTGTCCACCTTTCTGTCGTCAGAGACCACATACAGGGTGTCTTTGAAGATGAAGGGCTATGACTTCTCCCTCATATTGGATCCTGTGGGCCCAGAGGGAGAAACTGAGGAGGAGCCACTGCCTCTCGCTCTGCAGAGAGCCCAGAATGAGTTCAGGGGTATTTCAGACAGCGCCAAAGCCACCGTCTCAAAGGGTGCCAAACTCCTTCAGCTTATGGACTGGCTGCTACGGAGCAACAGTCAAATGGTTGAGCAAGTGAAGGGAGCAGCAGAAACCTACCAAGAACAAGGAAGACTGAATGACAACCTGGAAGAGAATATCAAGGAAGTGAGAAGGGCTAAAGAGTTATCTCAGAGATACAGGAAACAGGCAGATGAAGTTTACACTGAAGCTGTACAGATAGCAGGGATTGATGTATAATTTCCACAGTTTTTAAATAGTTCATTTAAAAAAATAATAATAATAAAAAAAACACTTATCTTTGTGATATATGTTATTATCTGGAACGGTTGAATTACAAGCTTAGAAATGTTCTATCTTTGTGACCCTTTGTGCCATGCTTGATTCAAGATCTTGAAATCTTGAATTCAAATTTTTCTTTTAAATGTTCAGAAAGCAGAAAAACGAAAACATTTTGCATGTGGGAAACTAGATGATAGCAAAGAACGTTACATGTCATTGTTTTCGTTTTTTTCTTCTTTTACAAAATAAACTGCGGTGGCCAAATTTATTATCAGCAAAGTACTCACAGAATCGTGGTAAGTTTCAGACTTTGCTTCTTGGATTAAAGGGAACCATCTTCAGAGGTTAAAAATACCACCGGACCATGTTTTCAGCCGTACATCACTATACTTAGCCAATTATCTATAGAAATGTTTACTTTTTCATCAATTATGGCAAATTTCTTTAACTTAAAAAATGCATATTATCTAGGCATTTTGTTGGTTTTTCTAGTTGGCTTATAGACTGATTATTTGTTAGCTTGTTTAATTGATGTTTGTCCTCATTTTTATAGTTTCACTGGTGTTGTTTTTTTTCACACCACTGTCTTATTTTAATTTTTGTTGTTGTTTTATATTTGCTTTATTTCAGTTTTGTCTTTGTTTAAATTTTAGGCCTTGGGAAATCTTCAAATGTCCAGATTTTATTTAATAGATTCGAAGACATTTTTAGTCACATTCTATTTTAAAATGTTCATTTCTTTTTTTTATTCTCTCCTCTTTACATGATTCATGTTGGTCTTAAATTTAAATAATAATGGCCCTAACTAGTCTTAGAAATTAACTTACTGCAACTGACAAAAGCACTGTTCAGTGCCTTGTTTTGATTTTAATTGCACCTGTTGTATTTCTTGCCGGCCTTTTACACATCTTATGTGCTTTTTTTGCCCCTCAATGCACAAATGTATTCTGATTAAAGTGATTGTCAAATATAAGCATACAAATAAACACAGAACAACAGCAATACTAATAACACTACAATAAACAACAATGAAAATAGCAAAAACAACACAGCAAACTGGAAATGTAAATCTTAGCGTAAAAATGCAATTGTATGTACGGTGCTTTTTCTATTTGACCAAGAATAAGTTAATACAAGAATACAGAAATTCATGTATCCATCCATTGCCTATACCTGAATATTCTTCGAGGGTCACAGTGAGGACACCTGAAGAGGGCAAATACAGAAATATACTAATTTACGTGGTGGTTATTTTTCTTTTTTTCTATCACTTATTGCTTTATGTGTTTTTGACGTAATTTTATTTTCAATATTTGTGGTATAGTATAATTATGATAAAATCCGAGGCCCGCATGTTTTTAAACCACATATTTTCAGTTTATCTACATGCCCATCAGTAACCTGTGATCAATTTTTCTGAGCATATAACTATAAAAAGCAGAAGGGGGCAGCAGAGAGTCACCTTGGTCTTTGTCACATTTTTAAACTTCACTGTCTGAATCTGGATTGAAAAAATGTCGATTTTCTTAATCCAATTATTTTATAATAAATATACTGAACATTCTGGTTTCATTTATTTTCCCCAAAAAGAAGTGCTACACGTGTGCTTACACAACTGATGAAATGAGAAATCTTTTCTGTAACTAAGAAAAAATATGTTACTATTGGTTTGTGCGAAATGTATTTTTTATGATGAGACATTCAGTGGGAGCAGATTTGCAGCTTACCCCGTATTAACTGATTAAAAATCGTAGATTTGGCATTGTTATTAACATGAAAGCATACAAACACATGGTCATCACGATGATTAATTCTTGAAAATCCATGGTGTTGTAAATTCGTGTCAAAATGCCCTTGCATTGTTTGCTATAAATACACAGAGACGCCGTTTTGCATTTAGATTTCATGAATCTAAATGTCAAATGTCAAATAATTATGGTAAATAATGACGAGGCAGATAATGTGTTTAAATGAAAATACATAAAGTTATGCAAGTAATGTCAGTTTATTGTACAGCAGAGATTTTCAGATAAAGTGGCTTTACAGTTTGCTCACTAAGTATAAAGTCGCAACATATGCGACTTTATGTGTTGCATAAAATATTTTATTATCTTTGATTAATATTGTTCATATTCGGTAGATCACTTGGCTGTCAAAGACCAAAGAATGACATCGACAACCTAGCTTGACCATGGAAATTATCACTTTGAGCCTCATAGACTAATTTGATTGAACGCCATATTTGAAGGCGTGGTTACAATTGACCTCCTGCTCTCTGATTGGCTAACACATCTGCCACTCAGCGGAGCTTGCGTCTTCGCCGTTGGTGGTAGTCTGACCGGAGAAAGTAACGAAGATGGAAGGAGCTGATGGTGTTGAATTATTAAGGAGACTTATGGACTAGCAACCGGTTAACCTTTTACTGAAATCTTTGGGCCAACGAAGGACAATAATATCGGGAACCTGACGGGTAGCATGCCAGTAAGTGTGGAGTAACTTTCTGAATTTCACTCGGTGCGGCGCCGTATCCGAGCTAGCCGTGTTGCTAATGTGGATGCAGCAGCCGGGGTGACAGCTCGAAGTCATTCAGTAAGCCGTGACAGAGAGGCGGCGGGGGATTAATTTACACTCTCTGGGAGTCACCGCCTAAGAAATACGATATAAATAACAACTATAAGCGTTGGTCTTATTTAGCACTAGTCGACAATTTTATTTTGGGGAGAAAAAACGTAGTTTAGTACAAGCTGTTTGGAGCTTAATAACGAACGAGACAGTAGTGAACTAAACCGAACAGTTAGCATTGTTAAACATTAAAAGTAATGGGTAAACTACAGGATTCGTCTCTTTCAGTTGTAAATTTTCTGCCTCAGAAATAGAAAGTATCTATCTGTTTAAAGAGTGAGACTTTGTACTTGGCTGATTAGCTATAGCCGTGTGTATCAGGGTGTGGACCTATTAAGATTCTTCAGGTGTTTTTTCTTCTTGTTTGAAAGGGAAGCGAAAAAAACACCTCGGCAGATTGGGATGTTGGATAATGCGTTGTTAGAATATTTCTAATAATCTGTCATGTGACGTAGCTTTTCCCTACTCTGACTGTTGGGTTTCCTGTATATGTGTATCACCTCTTATGCCTTGGTATTCATTTCCTCAGAAGGCAAAATTGGTTTCTTTTACAATTAGATCATATGATCACATTCAGGTCCTCCTACATACAGTTTTCCCAGTTATCATACATTTCAGTCAAATCAGTTTGTCATTTTCTATCTAAGGAAGGGCAGACAGCTGACTGCATTGAGTCAAAGCCTTTGCAGAAATCTGTCCTTGTGAACAAGCCAGGGGACAAAAGTGGAGGGGAGCAACTCCTTTTTAACAAGAAGCAACCTCCATGTGAGCAAGTCTGGCTTTAAGAGCCCGTCTGCTTCAAGCAATTTGGGGTTAACACACAGGAAGACATTTGATGATATCATTAGCTGTGTTAATGGCTTTGTCTGAAAGAGAGTTAACCGGAGGAGTGTCCAGATAGGAGACATAACCACAGTTGGTTTCACAGGGGGGAAAAAAAGAGCCTTTAGATTTCCATCCCAATCGTTTGTAGATTTACTATCCACCAATAAACAAAGAGCTCTGTTGGGAACATTTTAGAACAATCGGATCTCTAATATAGGTTTGGAGCTTGACTATTGAGGGGATTATACTTGATAATAAAATTTTAAGTTCAAATTTGGATTTGATAGGGACAAATGTGATATCTCCTTTGATTCTCGACAGAACTGTTGCTGCAACGGTCAGTGGCTTGTACTGCTTTAATTTGAGTCTGACCTAATATAAATAATTACAATAGTTAAAATGCATGAACTATATTGTTAGATTCTCTGTGTAACTTTAATCAGAGATTATTGCTTTCTGTCATGTGAGCATCGTTGAGGTCAACATTTCTTTTGCCTTTAGTTAAGGAAGTGACTGCCCACTGTTGGCTTGCTGAAGGAATGTGTGCATTTACAGTGGCATCCATGTGCCAGGCCTCTTAATGTTTTGTGACAGCGAAGCCCTAAGGTTATGGAGTCGGAAGATAGAGTGGGCTTTTCTGTCATCTAGCATCACCAATATGCACGAGAGCCAGAAGGTTAGTGCAATATTGTCTCACACTGAGCAGTTCTCCTTGTATTTGCGCAATAACAGCACAGGTGGCACAGAGAGACTCATTTTCTCAGTAAAAGTTTAAGTTTTGTGTGCGTGCAGGGCTGGGAGGCATGAAATATTGTTTAATATTGCCATAACAGTATTGTCAATGCTGAGCAAAGACTAGCGAAAGTTCATTCGATACCAAGTGGCCAATTATGTTGCCAAGCAGAGTTTTAATGCTCGTCTCCAAAGACATTACATCCAAGCAATCCCTTGCAGTTTCCACATTACATCTTGTCATGACGATGTAAATTGTGCAGCCATATTTTGAGCGCTCTGATCCAGCAGACATCTGAAGAGCATTTCAATTTAGGTCCGCGTTGTCACATTGGGTAAGTTATCAAACTGCGACGAGCCAAGCTGGGACACACGGAGGGGAAACGAGCGGAGGAACGCTTGTAGGAGCTGCTGCGCGCGGTATCCTCCAGCGCACTTGCTGCACGGAGACGGAGAATTGATAGGATGAAGACGCATCGCTGGCTTAGAGGCAAAGTAGAAGAGAGTGTGGGCTGCTATAAGAGGATTCCTCTCTGTAGGATTGCTCCATGTCCCTCAGCGCTGAAGCAGAGACAAGCCAGAGACTGTTGTCATGTTTTCTGCAGGCGGTTTTCTGTCAGGCATTATTGTTTGAAGAAGAGAATGAAAACAGAAGTATCGCCCCGGCTCTCGCCAGTTCCTCTCAGCGTAAAGCTACCTACTGTTGTGAAAGACCTTGGGGGCGGGAGGGGAGCATGGTGGGAGGCAGTGATGCAACAGGACTGTCCGCAGGCCACTATAGTCCAAATAAACAAGACTGGAGTAGACAGAAGCAAAAGAGGGATGTCAAAATAACGCTCTTTTGGGTGCTGTTAGGAGCTCCTGGCAGAGCTGGAATGGTGAGCAGGTGAGGTTGGGGCATGCATGAACAGAGTCATGTAATCACTGTCACGCCCCAACTTTGTACCATTTGTAGGTTAAAACATTTCCATCGAGTTGCTGAGACGTCCGATTGGATCATATATAATTATAGTAACAGATCTGATATTGGAGCTCAATTACAGAATGCAAGTCATGTATAATTTATTCTAAGCCGGGTTTCACATTGGAGGAGTCATTGTGATTATCTCACACTAACCAGTCGCTCAATGCAGCTGCAAGCCTGTACCACAGGAAAAAGCAGCCTGGGCGGCTTGGTGGCTCACAAAAACCACCCAGTTCGTCATTCTTTCTGTCTGTCTTCCCTCTTTTCGAGCCTCCATTCTTAACGGTCAAGTTTCTTCCTCAAACCAAATGAAACAAAACAAAACAAAAAATAAAAAAGAAGGAACATATGTGTGCAATAGGAAATGAAGTAATCAGTTGGGAGGCGGGGGGTGTAAATGAGAGGGAATGTCCTTCTAAATCATTCTCACTGGGACTCACTGCAGTTCACTGGCAGGTATGTTTGTTGTTACTGCAGAGGGGTTTTTTTTCCCCATCTCTTCTTAAGTATCTGTAATTTTCCATATGAGCTTAATACAGGAGGATTGTGTGTCAGCTTGTGGGTGTGATTGCCAGAACGTTCAACCGCAACAACAGGGATTAGGAATGTAAACTTACACGAGACTTGTGTCGAAAGAGGTCTTCAAGAAGGAGTTAAAAATAAGCTCATTTGGACTGGGCAGCACACAGTGTCTGCTGTGTCAGAGTTTAAGTCTGTGGTGTTGGTGGAAGTTCAGAGGGAGTGAGTTGTCAACTTCAGCGAGCTTCACAGGAACAGCTTTCGTCACGCACACTTCTGCAATGCATAAAACATTCTCCATCACCCCACGGCATGTGGCTGATTTCAGCAGAACTTTGCCCGGCTGGAGCAGAACTTCCTTTGTTTGAGCTGTTCTGGGTTTTAGGGAGGTGTGTGCGTCGAAAGATTCTTCTGGTTCCTTTTTTTGTTTCTCAGAGGCTGAAAGACTGCCAGCCGGCCAGCACAGATCGAAACCTAATGAACTCTCTGTTTTATTTAC